CCGAATGTAATGAGTAGACGTCCCACGATATGCATATAATATATATACATTTATATATATATATATATATATATATATTTATATATATATATATATATATATATTTATATATATATATATTTATATATATATATATATATTTATATATATATATATATATATGTAATAAGCGGTCGATATTTAATTTCTGTAATGAAACCGTATTGTACAAAAAAAAAACTTTATACAGAACCCTGCAAGTATATAGAGGAATTCTTCACTTTGCCGCACCTAGGATTAAAGGAATTAAATTTTAATGTTTTTTTATAAGGCAATACTAAGTAAATAAATTTAACAACTAAAAACACGTTTTGAGCTGACAAGCATATTTATGGGCGTATTAAATCGATCATTTTACTTTTTATCCTAAAACATGACGATTCTGTTTGCCCGTAAAGTTGCCAGAATTGACACTGAATAGTCTATTATTGCATGATTAATTTACTCAACTGCAAATAGTTTTTTTTATCGATTTAATTATGTCACTGTCTATTGGCTGTTTTCTTGTGATTTTAATAAAAGCATCCATACATGGCCTTTATTATTGCAATATGCTCAATTTTTTGCATTTATTACAAGAGTTAGTATATAATTAAAAATTAATGTATCATATTGCTTTTTAGCCAAAACACCACGATTCTGTTTGCCCTTACAGTTCCCAGAATTAACACTGAACAATCTATTAATGTATGATCAATTTCCTCGCCTGCAAATAGTTTTTTTTACTGATCCAATTCCGTCATCTGTCCATTTTATGACCAAATCCGGCCCTGTTTTCGGTGTGATTTTATTATAAACATCCATATATGGCCTTTGAAGTAAACAGATCTCGAGTTTGTACTCTCGGTGAGTCATATGACTCGAGTTTGTGCCATAATTTTTGCGAGTAATTCGCGCAATCGCATATCGATGATATCTCGACCTATTTTAGCGAAAATATGCGTCATGAGCGTAAAATAATTCATCATTTTGTTATCGGCGATAAATATTTGTATATAGTATGAAGAAATTTATAAAAATATAAATGATGTGAGAGGATAATTATCAGTGTAATAGTATCATTCTATTTGTAGATGATTGTGTACAGAGAAACACCAATACAAATTTTACATTTTTATACATGGACCTTTTTTTGAAGATTTTATTAACTTCCCGTACGGGTTTTTTATTCAATTTTTTTTGTATATTGAAAATAATTCAGATTTTAATTTTAATTCTGGCTAAAGTTCTAAAGCAAACTTATATACTTTAAATAAATAATTTTAACTTTGCAATTCAGTTTATATAATTTTTATGAACATTAGACAATGCTACAATATTTATAATAATCTATTTGAACACATTTAATATTCCTCGAACATTTTGTTACGGTACGAGAAGTTCCAGCAATTTACTTTAAGGCACGATGCCATATACGACTAGTTCTTTTATTAATTCAACTACTTAATTTATTATACATTGTAGTATTTTATGAGGATTTTATACTTTTATCACTTCAACTACTTCCATTTGCTAAAAAGCTATATTTTTTTTAACTCCCCATTTTTCATCTTGTAGTCAATTTTGAAATTATAATGGATTTTTTTTATTGAAGTCCTTAGAGTGATTCAGGAGCTGAAATTGATGGATTATTTTCTGTAGCATTTTAGTGTAAAAAGTCTAAAAGTTGATATTAAAAGTGCAGGAATTTTGATAGACACTTGTATGATCTATTGCAAAAAACATACCTTTTTTATTTCTATAGCTACTTTATATTGCTTCTTGTTTTATATTCTTTGAATAATCTTGATATAATTCTTTGGTGTAAATTGGTCAAAAATCTTAAATCCAAAAAAATTGCTTGCTTTTGGTGGGTTTTATTAAAGTTCTTGGGTTGATTTGATATAAAATCTTAAATCCAAAAATTAGATCCTATTGGTTTTTTAAGTTTTTGGATTTGATATAGTTCTTTGGGGTAAAATGGTCAAAAATCTTAAATCCAAAAAATTGCTTTCGACCCTGTTTTATTAAAGTTCTTGGATTGATTTGATATAAAAATCTTAAATCAAAAATTGGATTCTGATGGGTTGAGAAAGTTTGGGATTGGTTTATATCGAGCTGGAATTGATGGTTGACTTGTTGCAGTTCTTTAGTGTAACAGAATTTTTAAATCCAAATCTCACTACAGATCTAGGCAGAATTTTTGATTGATTTCGATTGATTTTTTTAAATGTAGTATTTTAGTCCACAAACTTGCTAATCATATTTCCACTACTTCGTGCATTGTCTTTTTCCATTGGCTTTACTTAAAATCAATTTTTTAACCAAATTATTTTTATTTACCAGTTCAATTAAGTTTTTTTCGGTCAACTTTTCTATCTTTTCCTTTTATCCAACTTACAATATTAAATTACCAACATCCGTCCGTCTGGTGTTATCAATTCCACATTATCATTTCAAAATGAAGTCTTTTTTCTGTTTATCTTTCGTTTTTAAAACAGATATAACAAATATTTGACAATATCAATTTGTACTGAAATACATATATTTTATCAGTTTATTTTAATAAATTGCAAAAGAAGATAACTTTTATATTGCGTTGGCTAACTAACTCATTGGAATTCTTATAT